GTCAGGACCTCACCGACAAAAGGTAAAAACGGCTGCTAAATTATTTTCACACACGGTAGCGCAAGCAATTACGAGGGCAGCAAACTTAGGCCACCTTAAAGAGCAGGATTGGAATGAATGCTTCCAATTGTTTAAAGTAGTTAGTATATTTGACAAAAAAATAAACATAATTATATATCTTATTATGATAATAAATTTCAAACATTTCAGACTGATGATTGGTTTGACGTATTGAACGTCACACATAGGGGTATTTGAACGATTTAGGCGGCCAAAAACCAATTTGATGAAATTTAGGAGAAAACTTAAAAAATTATTCACATTCGATAGAGAACATTCCAAATAACATTTCCCAGTCCCCCTCACTTTTCTAACTTGCACAGCGAACGCTCACCGTTGACCGGAAACAGAATATTCTAACGCTGCTTATAAATAAATTTTCGCTCTCTAGAAAGATCGTGACGGTTTTAAGTTAATATTTTGACTACTGCATTATATTCTTAAAAAGTAGTGATGGCTCCGCATACAGACCGTAATAATGCATTTAAGGGTAAATTTTTTTAAATAATTTTATTAAGCAAAAGTTCAATTTAAATGTAACGAAAATAGCGGTTTTCAACGAGTATTTTTTTGTTAATTTTTGTGAATATTAAGGAATTTGTTGTATCCCCGGGAGAGATCGCGTTAGTATTCTTTGTTCAATTGAAAGCGTAGAAATTTGGCTAATATAGTGTGAAAAGACTGCCCGCAGAAAATGGCAGATAAGTGGTATTTCTTAACTTAGAAAATGTATTAAGGAAAAATCTAAAAACGCGACTAGTATATAGTAACACTACTTTAGATCTATTTTAACACTAAAATTAAACTTTTTAGATGAATTTGAGGCCGCTGAACTAGAATATGAATCCATTTAATTTAACAAATAAATAGTTTTCGAGATATTAGCAAAAGCCATGTTTTTTTGGACCTTTCGGTCCTGTTGCTAGAAATCTGCGGGAATGTAAGGCGTGTTATATAAGTGATGATTAAAGAAATAGTTTTGGGTATACAAGCGTTTAAATTAAAATAAATCTACGATATTTCAGTAAATATTGTATCCAAATTGTTAAAAATTAGTATGTAAACTAAAATTTTGGAACAAAATAGGATTATTATTAAAGTTTTAGAAAATGGGTGTGGCCCCGCCCACTTATGATGAAATGCTGTATATCAGTATCCACTTCACTAATCCGTACCAAACTCGGTATGAGCCTTGCTTAGGCTATATCTAACATAACTGCTAAAAATTCTTGAAATCGGGCGATAACCACGCCCACTTCCCATATAACGGTGATTTACAGAAACGCGAAAACTGCGATAAATCAATAACTACTGAAGCTAATTCACTCTAAATCGATTCTTGGAATAACCTCTTAGCATTAATGGAAATTATAAATTTTTGGATAATGGGCGTGGCGCCGCGCACTTTTGACCACAAATGTATATCTCGGTAACCGATTTATCAATTTGTACCAAACTCGGTGCACTTGGTATGGAAAAGCAATGCGTTGCAAATACGAAAACTCCGATATTTTAGTAATTTAGGACGTTAATTTACTCCAAGCTAATGCTTACAAAATTCTCTTAACAATAAATAAGACTGTTATTATTTCAAAAATGTAGTTTTATTACAATGGGTGCGTTCGAGTTACGTAATAATTACCGCAATATTGCAGACTTGTTGCTTTCCTGATGACATGTTGCTGAAGCTCAACTTCAACTTTTCTAAAATGTTGCAGAAATTGCGCAGTAAAAATGTTTATGTTGCTTTTGATTTGCCAATGATGAGTAACTGATTGTCAAAATTTTATACGTCCAAGATTTCGCGTAGAACGTGATACTCTATCATAAAAGAGTAACACTGCCGCATTAATTGCACCTCGAATACACCCATTTCTCACCTATCCTGTGATTCATATTTGAATTATTTAATTCCTTCAATTAAAGTTGAATTTGATTTTTTAAACCCTGGAAGGTTCCTTAGAGATAAAGCCTTTTCAAACCCATTTTCATTGATACCCATATTGCAGCAATTCATATAACAAATTGAACACAATTTTTTAACAGGTGGCAACTCTGTTAGTGTTTTAACCTTTTAACGACTTTTCTAAACATTTCGAGTTGAAATATTCATAAAAATAATTTTGGCCGCATAAATCGGCTAATACCCCCTATGTGCGTCAGGGTGTCACACGCTGATTCGAGAAAGCGATGTCATGCTTACGGCCTAGCTCTTGAGGAATAGGACCAAATACTATATATATATAATAATATAATATGTATTCCATATTTGTTGATAAGAGTTTATGTTCAAATATTTACGACTTTTGCTTAATTTACTTTAAGGAATCATTCAGACGAATAGAGCACTGAAAATGTTGTTTGAAGTTATAAAAACCCGATTCAATGGGAAATATATTTTAACTTACCGTCTCAACCAGGATGTGCTTGAAAATTTTTTTGGAGTGATCCGGTCAAAAGGTGGGCTGCATGATCACCCGGATCAGCAAGAATTTAAATACCGCCTCAGGTTGTATTTACTTGTGCATAATGAAGGTGTCCTATCGCATTCTGCCAATGTCGAGGTAGATGATACACCTGATTTAGAAATAACACAGGCGCCTCTTTCAGGTAAGTATTTAAAATACATTTAAAATAGATAGTAATGTATATACCCAACAAAGCACAAAACTATACTTAAAATGCATGCCAATGTATTCGAAGGTATACTATTGAAAAATTTGAAAGTTGCTTCGGAGCCATGGTCGGTGGAGCAGCTTCAACTCGAAGATTTGGAGTACGATGGCTTGGAGCACTTAGCTGGGTATATAGAGATGACATACCTAGCACCTCAATCAGAAGTAGGGAAGATCCGTCATACTCCTGGGCAACTCACTTAAGTGAGGGGGGGTTATCTATCCCCAGCAGTAGTATGATGGATGTAATGCGTGATCTAGAGTCAGTATTTAAAGCAATGAATGAAGATGGCTTGCTCATTACAAACGATTTTGTAAGAAAACACATTGAGCAAGCTTTCAATATTCATTGCGACATTAAAGTGAAAAAATTATTTTTCAGGGCAAGAATGTTCTTTAAAATAAGAAAACTAAATAAGGAACTTATTGAAAATGCCCACAAAAGAAAAAGAAAATTTAAAAAATACTGACCTAGACTTAGACAATACCTTACATTTTCAAGTAAGTATAGTTTATTTTTTTATGAAATTAATTGTGATACCTAAAACACTGATAAATTTTAACGAATTCATATAAAATTTATTGTAATTGTATCAAGTAATTATGTTATTTTAGCTGTCATACATACGTTTCATTTTCAAGAGTTTGCTCCTATCGAGATAATCCACTAGATGTTACCAAAAAAGCCCACGTTCGCATTACAATCGGCAGAACTCCCCAACATCTTCCAAAAATAGGCCCTTTTCAGGGCCGCCAAATTTTTAACAAAGATATGAAAATGGTCTTTACAAAAATAAACATTTTTAAATTTGTTGCCGAAACTACAGCTATGGTCAAAGATTTAGCACTAAAAATATTATTATGTTAGATCTCAGCTAGTGGATGAATGTAGGAGAGCGCTGGCCTATATTTCTGATCAATACGAAATTACCCTAATATGGGTCCCGGGACATAGGGGCATCTACGGAAACGAGGCAGCGGACGAACTAGCAAGGAGCGGCTCCGCACTGGATGTGTCCATGGGCGCCTCGCTCAGGGAGATTAAGACAAAAATTACCGAAATTTATCATTCGACGGCCACGCAGAGGTGGAACTGCACAGGATCCTACAGAATTGCCCGGCAGTTCTGGATGTCCTACGACCCACTCAAAACCAAAGCTCTTTTAGGAATGAGCAAAACAAATGCCTACAGACTTACTGCAGTGTGCACAGGGCACTGGCCCGTTGGGGTACATGCCGAAAGGCTAGGACTGCCCTTCAATAGGTTCTGTCGCAGCTGCGATGACCCGGGCTCAAAAGAGACAGTCGAACACTTGCTGTGCGAGTGTCCAGCCCTCGCAAGGTTGAGGCTAAAGACACTCGGCAAACCATTCCTGCAGAATATTTCAGAGTGCAGCTGCCTCTCTCTGTATGACGTACTGAAATTTATTAAAGCCGCCAAATGGCTGTAGGTTGCACGAGTTGTGGAATCAAAATGGCAAACTTGCTAATTGCTTGTCACCTGAGTGACAATCCACTTAAACCAACCAACCAAAAACATTATCGAAATTTTAAACTTTTTATCTAGAATATTTGAAAAATTCGAGTAGAACTTCATACTCATGAGTCAAACCACGCCAACTGTGTCAATGAATTTTCATTGATTTTCTGGAAAGTGAAGACAATTGTGGGAATCTGTAGATAATTACAATAACAAAAATACACTTTGGACGGTTTTTCGAAATTGCACTTCGTTTTTGTTTTTTTTTGGTATTATAAGAATATTGCAATTTTTGAGAGAAAAATTCGTAACTCGCGACCCATTTGATGAAATTTGATGAAATTTTGTTTGAGAGTTTCTGAAGCTTTTCTGAAGCTTTGTGGAAACCCAGCAATTAGTGGAACAGTGTTTTTTTTTATTTTACGGACGTTGGGATAGCGCACTATCCATCAAGTGGCCCGTATGAAACTCCGATGAAGCCACCTCCCCGGGACTGCTTTCGTATTTCATCAGAGAGGGGCCATGGCATACAGAATGCCTCACTCCTTAACGCCATTTCCGTATTCCCCCATCCACATTTTGGATAAGGGGTTCAGGAGCGTTTTGTCGTCTGTGCTTCGTGGAGAGATTCCCTGTGGAGTAAAAAACAAGAGTGAAACACAATTAATGTCAATTATTTCATTTATTTCACTGATTAAAGCCTCTCTCTATCCGGCGGCGTTGTTCCCTTGCTCTAAGCTCAGTCATTATTTCTTTACTGACAGATTTCACTCCGTCCCAGACCTTAATGTCATTTACCATGTATGATAGCAAGTTTTCAGGACTCGGACTAGACAGAACCAAATCTTTTAATTTGTTTCTTTTAGCGGGAAAAGAAGGGCATGCAAAGAATATATGCTCGGCAGTTTCCGGTACACTTCCACATGAACCACACGCCATTGTGTCATCATGACCATACTTGCACAAGTACTGTCTGCCCACTCAACAGTGGAACAGTGTGAAATTTGGTACTTGCTTTCTGTTTATTTTTTTCAAAGATTCTGCATTCAAACAATGATTTCCAGGCTGCAAGGTGTAATATTGGCTATTTCTGGTTTACTAGCCGATTTGAACGAAACAAACTCTTCATATTCATAGCTGCGTGTTTGACATAGCACTGCGTACTTAGAAGCATTAATAAGATCACCGTTCAAGCTATTATCTGCCTTCGATGTACTAGTACTAAAGCCTGTGGCCCGCAAATCACACCAAACGTGAACATGCTCCTTGCGCAATGTGTGCATTGACTAAAATGGGGTTCCAGTGATTACTTCAAAATCTGTAAATACAACCGATTGTGTTGATGAACTGCAAAAGTGACACTTATTTATTATAAGCACTGGCTGCAATGCTTACCTATGCACAACACCAGACAGGTACTCAACCAGCGTCACTTCCCGTCCAGCTTCATTGCGTTGCGCTACTGAGACAACCGGGTGAAATTGCTTAGGCAACTGCATAGAACGACCGGACTTGATATTCAAGGAGGCATGAACAAGACTTCTCCACCTTGCCGTTCGTTTTACAGAAAATAACGCTGAGGAACTCCTCCTAAATCGGTTCCATTTTTTATGAAATATGCAAACACAATAGTAAACGCTGTTTTTGTCACAAAATAGTATACCAACCAGGAATATATTAACTGACTCTAATATTTCTGCGTCCATTTTTCATTTCGCCATAAAATATTTGGTTTAATTAAATAAATATTATATTTCCTATCAAAAGCCACGCAACTTGCACACTTCCCTCACATTTTCCTAACCTAACTTAAAACTTGTTTACAAATATTGGACATTTTGACAGCTTGTTCTCGCCGCTCTACGGTGACGTCACGCTAAAATTACACTCACGAATTCTCCTGCAATCGGCGCAATCTTGTATTCTATCATTCTTGTCTGCATCTCCGCTGAAATCTCACTAAATCTCTGCATCAGTCTCTCCTCAGTGCTCTTCAAGAATGATAGAATACAAGATTGCGCCGATCAGAGAGGATTTTTGAGAATAACTTTTGTGTTTCGTCACACTGGTGCAATTGCGAGAGAGAAATGCCAAAACGTGAGCAAGAATGGAAGAAGAAGAAAAAATGTTGCAAGGACAGGAAACAAGTTGCACAAGTGTGACGTCATGCAAACAACGATTCTGTCAAGTTCGTTAAGAGGGGAATAGCGGTCCGAGATCGGCGCAACCTTTGTATTCTCTCAATCGTGAGTGCTCTTTATATTCCCACTCAGCTGTTCTATCATGCACTGCTTTTCTTTTTCCATTTTCGCCTCCAGCTGTTGTAGCTAGTGTGCAGTTAGCGTACTCTCACCATCTCGGCCTTTACCCGCACTTGCACTTCTTGTTATTTCGAAAAGACCGACATACTGCAAATAGAATTATTTCAATTTCGAATTATTTCAATTTCAGTGCGAAAAACACAACGTTTGCTTATATGTAGAAAATCAGCAGCAGTTAAACACNGGAAACAAGTTGCACAAGTGTGACGTCATGCAAACAACGATTCTGTCAAGTTCGTTAAGAGGGGAATAGCGGTCCGAGATCGGCGCAACCTTTGTATTCTCTCAATCGTGAGTGCTCTTTATATTCCCACTCAGCTGTTCTATCATGCACTGCTTTTCTTTTTCCATTTTCGCCTCCAGCTGTTGTAGCTAGTGTGCAGTTAGCGTACTCTCACCATCTCGGCCTTTACCCGGAAGGGGGGTGTTACCCTTCGGCGGGGACGACTTTGCACTTCTTGTTATTTCGAAAAGACCGACATACTGCAAATAGAATTATTTCAATTTCGAATTATTTCAATTTCAGTGCGAAAAACACAACGTTTGCTTATATGTAGAAAATCAGCAGCAGTTAAACACACAGAGCTTAGCTTGACAAGTATTAAATCAAGTATTAATTATTGAAAAGATGACAAAACCGGCAGCACAATGTTTACACGTCTACTCAGTCATAGCGCAATTTTCTTAAAAAAAAGGAAATTTAAATTCCCAAATTATCCTTTTTTATCCCTTGTCCCTTCCCTCGGCAAAAAAATAATAATAAGAATGGCTTAGGTTTATATTATTTAAGAGTTATTGGGGTCGCTAAATTCGAGTCTGAAATCAAAATAACTAAAAACAAAATGGTCGATCCAATATGGCGCCTGAAATTAATAGAAATGTGTTGAGTTTGAAAAATAATTAAACAAATTCACGTAAAATTGAGTTATATTTGGGTTTTTAAGTTTGTATTCAAAATTCTTAAAAAAATGCTATTGAATTATAATACAATCATGTTTGCGTGCATCTTATATGAAATTGGTTAAAAAAAATTTATTTAAAAAAATCATGTTTAGAAAAACTTTCAATATTGTATGGTACAAAACCGCGTCTTAAATTCATATTTTTCATATGAGATAATGAAATCAGTTCCACTCATGTGGAAATCAGTTCCCCTCTTGTGGAAATCGTAGAGCTTTTCATTTTATAAATATTGACACAGAATGCGATGGGAGCTTTTACTTGATAAAAATCTTGATAAAATTTCTTTACAAATAATTTATCAACAAAACGCAGAATTGGGCGGTTAGATATATAATAATGTGGGCGTGGAACTTGTCCCACCCAGACCGAAGGTTCCTCAAAAAACTTGTGGGTTCGAAGAAACGGATTCGTTTCGAGTTCTCACAAACGACTTCATCAGGCCAACGTCGCAACGACTTCGATTCGACGAGAAGTAAATAAATTTAAGATTTAATTTCAAGCGTGAAGATATAAAACTTTTACAAATAATAACACCAGCTAAGGTAGTTTCTAAAGAAGAGTTATCAATTTTACGTCTTTTGTTAAAGTTTATCCATCTCATAGATTGCGATCCTGATATAATAACCACGCAGTGGAATTTACCGAGGCTAAGTGAGCTTGATATTTCCAGCGATCTGGATATTGATATGTTTTGCGAAAGAGTTTATTCTATTAAAAATGGAATGAATGAAAATAGCTCCATGCATCTCGCCAATTTCGTTTTTAATATAATAGGTGCGTTCGTTTAAAATCTCCAACAGAAACCAACCAACTGCCAAATTCCGGCGAAATGTCATCTGTTCGCTCACAAGAGAGAAATATCCAAAATAGTACGCGAACAGAAAATTTGCAGAAACTTGCAAGTTAGACGAACAGCTGATATAATTTTTGTTTACATACAAAAGTGTAAAATTTAAAACGTACGAAAAGTCATCGCAAAGTGTTATACTGACACAGTTTATTGATTAAACAAATAACTACTTATTTCTTACAAGTTTAATTAGTCGCATTTTGTAATTTTTATCTTCCAAACCATCAAATTAAATTTTGTGATTTGCGTAAATGCCAACCAGCTGTTTTTGATCAGCTGTTTCCCTGTTGGCAAATTGCTGTTGGCAAAAATTTTTCCAACAGAAACTAACAGCTTCCCCTCAAAATGAAATGTCATTTTGCTCTCTCAATTTCCCCTACTTTGCAAGTTTTTTGCGTACGCGAACGCAAAAACCTGTAAGTTTTGGTTAAACATGAACAATTAACAGCTACGCGAACGAACCTAATTTCATTACCACATAGCTCTGCGGCTGCAGAACTCAAATTTTCAACGCTTTCTTTGATAAAAACTAAACTAAGAAATAAACTTAAGATTAATGTTATGCAAGGAACTTGTAATCAAAAATGAACCGCACTATGTGTCGTGTAATTAATTGATTTAAATTTACTTTTAAGAAATTAAACTTATTGGTATATAACATGTACATATGTATATAATTCATACAACCAAGAAATGTTAAATGATCTCATCTCTGTTCCTAAGACTGTATCTGCATTTATTTATTTCTTGTTTGTTTTCAAAGTGTACAAAGTACATATATTTATGTATGTAAATGTTTTGTATTCGAAACATTGAATCTTAAATAAATGAATTGTATGTCTTCAGAATGCTTTTTTGTGATTGAAATTTATTTTGTAGGTTGTAAACGATTTTGGTCGGATTTGGGAAGAAAATTGGTAGGGGAAAAAAATTGTTAGTGCAACGCTGATGTCGAGACTAGTATCGGCCATAAGAATCGGCATCGGCAATTTTTGGTCGATTCTTGAACAAGGTAATGTTATTTAGTTATTTGATTATGTTTTTCTTTTGTCATCGGCCAATTCTTTGCCGATTAAATCCTGATTATAAATTCATTTCAAGAACAAATCCTTTTATAAACTTTTATAATAAAAGAAAAACATAATCAAATAACTAAACAACTTCACCTCATTCAAGAATCGGGCTAAAACGGCCGATGCCGATTCTTTTGGCCGATACTAGCCTCGGCATCGGCCGATTAATCGGTCAGACTCTATCCCACACCAAATTTGTGCGCCGTGTCATGAATTTTTGTATTCATGCCCCGTTAATCGCATTTCCTGTACCTACTGTGGTAATGTCAGCCTTATATTTCTTAATGACGTCCAGCAGTTAGATAGGGGCACCTTTCCTTTTCATGTATTTTCTTTAACTGCATCTACAAACCAGGCTATACTTAGTAAATTTTATATGTAAAATACTTCCAGATAGGTGCTTCTCCATACTCAAATGCAATGTAGTTAAAATATATTAAGGAACCATCATAAAATTAGGACTATTTTGGGATTTTTAACTTTTTGATATTTTCTTCCCCAACTTTGACTATCTCTGGTGAAAAAAAATGTAATGAGCTATAACTTTACACAAAAAAATTGTTCATTTAATAAAGATTTCAGAAAGGTGCCACTCTTACTGTCTCGAATAGAAAAAAAAAAGTTATAGCCGCTTTTGTGGGCAAAGGACTGAGACACGCNCGAAGGATGGGTTCACATGAAATAAAACATACATGAGTTGTTTACCGAAAAATTTATTCAGTTATTGATAAAATATGCTCAAATTGGCGACCTTCTACTCTAATTTCAATGTTCCTAGCAGAATTTTGCGGCATACTGATTTGTTTAGAGTCGCTATTAGCAAAACTCTTTACAGCCGAAATGCTCCTTTAAATAGAACTTTGCAAGAAATCAATACGATTTCTAGTTCTCTAGACCTTGGTCTCTCTATGCCAAAGGGTATTTTCCGAAATCGGCTTGAATCTTACTTAAGTAATCTTAATAATATTTTATAATATGTAATTTTTTCTAATATGTGTAGTCTGTAAGAACATCCTGTTGATAAACTTCATAAACAAATAAATAAATAAATAATACAACCTGGGCACCTTTTAAGAAAATACGCTTTTAGAGATCTTAAAATCAATCGGGCTATCTCAGCAGCAGCTCCATTTATTTGTTCCCGCAAATGCTCTTCGTTTTGAATTGCTTTTGAATAAATTTTGTCCTTAAGACAGCCCCAGTAGAAAAAATCTAATGGATTCAGGTCTGGCGATCGAGCGGGCCACGTGATTGGCCCGTATCGTCCAATCCATCGGCGAGGATAAGTTTCGTCTAAATGAGCTCTTACTTCACGCCCGTAGTAAGCAGGGCACCCGTCATTTTACAGCCATAGTCTTCGCCGCTGGTTTAAGGGTACATCTTCTAAAAGAGTTGGAAGCCGTTCCTGAAGGAACTCTAAATAACTGTGAGAGTTGAGCGTACAATTAAAAATACCGCACCATAAATTTATTTTGTACCGGTACTGCGAACGATCTTCTCTCATTTCGTGAGGATTGTCTATCTGCCAA